CCTTTAAGAAGAATCTTGTCTGCCATCTGCTGGACACTTTTTGTTGTGCTCATATTTAGACGTCCTATTTTGCAAATGCTGCCTTCCTGAAATTTAGTATGCTTGTTTGTCTTTGTGTCTATGGTGTATAATGATGTGATTGTGATGCAGTAATTCTGAGTGTTTTGTGTGCTGCAGAACAGGAACCTGCTGCAGCAATTATGCCGAGTCAGGCTTGATTTTTAGTAATCTTTTCCTGTTAAATCAATAAATCAAATCAAATCAAATTCCTACTCAAACTAACCTCTATTTTAGGAGTAGAGGAGAAAAAAATGTGCTTTTCTGCTTATTACAGAAGCAACAGCAGCTTGAGCTCTTCATAAGTGGGCTGCAAAGAACAAGCCAGTCACCCCTTCCCCTGCACCTCCGAAGGAAAACAGTTTTCTTTATCTCCCACTTTCAATCTGTTGAGGGAGGCTGTAATCCCAGCCATTTCATCTATTGTTCATAGAACTTTTCCCACAGCTGTAATGACTGTGGAACTATGCTCCCAAATCCCATAACAAATTAATCACTTGTATTGACAAGCTTATATATTTTCTCTGCAACCTGTCAAAAAAAAGGCTACAAATTCAGGTTTTCAACGTGAGTTAGTGTCCTACTGCCTCTCCCGTTAAGGAATGGACAACTGCTCGCAGCGAGGGAGAGTTGCAACAAATTGCGTCAAGGAGGTGAGTAAGCAGCTTAAACTGACAGGTTTATTAACTACAAAAGAAAACTCTTAATGAACGCTGGATGTTGTGTTAAAAATGATCAAAAGATACAATATTGGTGCTGTTAAATTGATCCCCCGACGATATTTTTTTCACTACTTAAAATGATCCTCGTGTTCGGGGTTAAAGGAATACAGCAGCAAAAGGAAAGTTTCTTTGCAAACATTGGTTTACCTTTTGACCTTTGACCTTTGTCTCACTGACAGTCATTAATCACCAGCAAGAGCTGCTGACACAAAGAGCATAATTCATACAGCAGAGGCCTAGAGCAAACTAATCAGCTTTCAAAGCGAGCATAACTCTGGCTCACGCACGTCAGTCGTTTGCCAGAACAACAAATCTCCCAGGACCATCTCAGCACTTTGAACATCAGTTACCGTCCGGCTTTACCATCATTTCAACACGTTCTATAAAGTGCAAACAGATGAACCTTTCATCTGTTTGTCAACATACATTTAACCTCTGGGAGAGCTAGAAATTATTGGGACTTTTTTTATTTTTTGCATCTCAAATTCCAAATTTCCCATTCTCGCAATTTTCATCTAATTACAAAAAACCCGCTGTCACTCAATACACTCTGCTCTACTGATCCACAGGTCTAACAAGCAATGTGTTGAGCATAAAACATGATTATTGTGACTCGCCATGAATGTGCAACTGCAGCTCATTCGGTGCACCCAATTAACGTCAGCGCTTCAGGCATGAGCATTTTGCAAATGATGTTCATTTTAGGATTTTTTTTTCCAAGAGTTGACATGAATGTATGCTGATTGCTGTTTTCAGGGTGATAAGATTGACAGGAGATGTGGGTCGCTGGTTTGGCATTTAGATAGTCTGAGCAAAGTTTAAGATGTCAAGTATCAAGAATAATAAAATCAAAAAATGTTAAATCTCAAGTATCTTTTATTAATTTATTTGCAAACTAGATGAAGGCTGCATGGGCAATAAGACCTGCAGCAAAAACTTTGATACTTGTGATAAAAGTAGTTTGAATGCATCTCCAGCACTTTAAAGCAGGGGTTCTCAAGCCGTTTGGGTCTGGGGACCCCTTACAATGGCAAAAAATAAATAAATAAATAAAAATTAAATAAATAAATAAATGCAGAGATCCCTTTGTAAACGCCATGCTGTTTTAAAAGATGATTAATGGTCATTTCAACCCCTAAATGCCATGGGAATATATAGTTTTATTAAGTTTAATATATTTGTTTTATTAGTTCGTTGTTCTCCATGCATTTTTAAAAATAAAAACCAAATTAACATTTTAGTGAAGATTTTTAAGGACCCCCAAGATACCTTTCACGGACCCCTGGGGGTCCAGGGACACTAGTTTGAGAACCTCTGCTTTAAAGAGTAACTTACCCCAAAAATAACTTTTTTTAGCTGATAAACTGTCTACAATGTGTCTAAAATGTTATATAGTACTGTTTCTGTGCAAATTTTGATGTTTTTGTGTGTATTTGTTCAAATCTGTAATATTTGGTCTAAAAACGTCTTTTTGCTGCTCAAATGGGTAGAGCAGTGGTGCTGCAGACTAATTTGCATATTGGTTAATGGCTCCCCATGGTGACGTGTCTTCTCCACGGTTTCGTCACAGCGGCTGTGTTCTGGTATAAAAGCCTCTCTCTAAGACACGCCCCTGCAGCAGTCAG